AAAGTCCCGAGGAATGGGACCTGACGATGAAGCATACTCTGCGCCAGCTTCATCAACGAGAGAAATCGGAGAAATCGAGTTATACTGTCAGTACTAGAGGACGACCTGTTGTGGTGGCCTTTACCACGAGTGTCAGATTGTTTTATTATGTCCACCGGTGTGAAGAGCCCGCAGCCCTTGGAGCCGATGCTAGTTCTTTGTCTCGTGATATCGCTGCACGGTGTACGGATGCAGACCCCAGTCGACGTCTCATTCCCCTTCTTCCCGGAGGTAAGACCATCGACTTGAAGACAAGCGATGAGAGAAACGAGTTTGAGAGCTGGATGAAGATCTTCTGCGGTAACATAGGAAAGTCGACTGAGTGGGACCCTTTCACGGAAGAACAGCAGCCTCTCATTCCCAACAAAAACGTGCCCAGAAGTCCTGTGCAGGACACAGACGAGCCTTTCTTGTGAAGACTAGAGGTATAGGCAATTGTGGGCAACGATACATCAACAAGTAATGATAGTATATTCTACATCTTGAAGTGGCCTTGACTCTGTGTTTCCGATGTTGTGCCGGCTTGCATTCTTACCACATTCGTCTGCTTTCCTAGCTCAAAATGCTCAGGGTAGAAAGAACAGAGATATCAAGGATGGGTAGAATGCTATTCAGAACCTCTTGTCTAGTTCAAGTTTTATCACGGTGGTATTTGCCGAGACTTGTCTTCTTTCTAAATGGCCCGCTTGCTTCCTTGTTTCTTATATTGATATGCACTAGCGTTAAAACCAACAGAATGATACACACTCATAAGGACTTACGTCAATGTCATACTCAGATAATGATCTTAACCAATACAGCGTATTATCTATCATTCCACAACCAGTAAACCCACCGATGAGATCTTAGGAGCAATCCCTAAATAAAACCTCAGGCAGCTACTCGTAAACCACCAACCGGAGCATGACGTAACATGGTAGCCAGTTGGGCCCTTCTCCCTCCAATTTTGGTCCCATACAAAGGAACCGTTGCTGCCTACTCTTCCCATCCCATACTACCTAGGCTAGTGGTTGATGCCAGCCAGTCGAACTCCAGCTATATGTCAATTCAGTGTTACAGATCCCCGTCCATTGCTATTTATATAAGACAAGAGGTGTATTGGTATGAACTAGCATTGAAGTGTAATCTTCGTGACATTTCTAAAGATAGTCGTATGTAGATGAGACATAGGTAGGTGGTAGGTAGGTATCAATCAACAAAGCTGAACAAGAAGTAAAATGCATCAATCCAGAATTTAGACTCCCATATCAGAAATCAATGAAAAGACAGCTCAGGCCCAAAAATGCATGGGAGAATGCAATATCATACCCAACTCCATACACAAAACCCCATAAAGGTCAAATAAATCCATCATGCACCAGACACAACATACACACTTCTCCCCGGACACAGGTGGTCGATTAGCGATATCTCGCCAACGTATCCCTCACCAACTCCAACACCTCCGTCTGGACCTCCGCCTGCGAAGCCCGCACATCCACCGTAAGAGCATCCCACTCGCCCTTGGGCTCCTCGAGATCCTGCAACTGCGACTGCACCATACTACTCTTCATGTAATGGGCCTGTCGATTCATAACCCTCTGCAACAACATGGTCTCATCCAACTTGAGGTAAATGAAATGGATCTGTACCGAGGGGGATCCGTACGCCGCGACGCGCATCACGTCCCGGTATTTCTGCTTTAGGGCTGAACAAGCAACCACTACGCCGGAGGGCGGGTGGAAGTTGTTAGTTTCGGAGGGGGAGAGCGCCTCGATGGCGGCTTGGCGGAGGGAGATGAGCCAGTCCCATCTGTCGGCGTCGGTGAGGGGGATGCCGTTGGACATTTTTTCTTTGTTGTTGGGGGTGTGGAACTGTTGGGTGGTTGGTTGGTTAGTTATTTCGGTGTGGTTGTGGTTGTGGGTGTGGTTATGGTATGTTAGGTAGGGTGGATTGGTTGGTTGGTTGTACGTACATCATCACCCTCTAAGAAAGGAATGCTAAGTGCTTGTTGAATCCCCTTGCCTACTGTGCTTTTCCCACATCCTGCTGGCCCCGTCACTACCCAGATGTGTTGGATTTGGTCTGCCGGCGGTGTTGTGGTGGTGGTGTTGCTGCTGGTGCTTCCCCACATGGAGTTGGCCACGGAGTTGGTCAATGGGCTTTTGCTGACGGGACCGCGTGTGGAATCTACTACTGCCGCTGCTGCGTTGGTCATGGTGGGTTGTTGGGGTCGTTCGCCGGCGGAGAGCATGGTGGTGATGTTGTTGGTGGAGCAAGTAGAAAAGGTTTTTGAGAGGTGAGGGAGTTGAGAAGTTATGTATGACGTCCTTGCGAACCGTGGGATAAATAGGGTTGGTTGTAATTCAATTCAGTTTTATCCACCCGGGAGGAATAGTGGTGGGAAGTATGATATGTTGGATGAATGCGAATAGCCTATAGCGGCGCAAGTGGTCACCCGACGAGGAATGAGGAGAAGATTGCGGTAATTGAATATAGTGGTAGTAGTGGTGGTGGTAGGTGAGGTAAGTGGTATGAATAGTATGGGGTAATGGAGTCTTCGGCAGTGACTTGGGGTATATAAGTAGTATAAAGGCAAGGGGGAAGAGTGTGAGAGAGAGGAATGGAAAAAGGAACCAAACAAGAGGAAGGGGAATTAGATCATAAAAAATAATAGATAGATAGATTTCAGGGCAGTTTATAACAAATCAATAAATCAATAAATCTCCTTCAAGTATGAAATGCAAGTGGGCCACCTCGTCGGGGCACAGTCATCTCATTGGGACTGCCAATTTCTCATAATTCCTTCTCTTGATTTTCTTTGATTTTTCTCAACTCAAATATGAGACCCGGCTTTGAGTAATGAATTAATAGCAGGTTGGGGCCGGAAATTGCCAGAAGGGTTTCCACCGCATCGTCATGGGCTGGCTGGTGGTGAATACTAGTCGGGGACCGATCCAAACCACATCCGCCATCGAATCACAAAGCAGCTGAAAACTATTTGCAGGCGCAAAAGAAGTAGGGCATTCCGAGTGGGGGGGATATTGAGCAGCGAAACGGGCGAGTGGGGGAGACTCCCTCCAAGCAAGTCAACTTTCAGGAGTCCGGCGGTCTGGTCATTAGCGGGAGATCCGATCGGTAGCAAAACACCTCTCCTCGTATTGTCGCATACACACCTCCATACAAGCCTGAGAGAATAATAAATAGTACGCGCGCATTCCCCTTTCCCCCCCTTATTGCCTCATTTACTCTTCAGCAGCAGGAACAGGGGGAATTTTGCCCGGGAAGGAACCAGTCAGCTCAGCGAGACCATCATATCCCTGTGTCACCCAATTGAAATGTTGCTGGCTGACTTTGTCCGGTCTTCCCGCCATGATGTCACTGGGTCTGCTGCAACCGGGGATTCGGAACCGTAATTTCGTACGTCTGTTTCTGGTTTCTGACGGTACCGGGACGGGTAATGGCTCGAACCCCCACGCTATTCCCAACCCGGTATTGGGTCACCGTCCCCAAAAGGGTCGTTTTCCACGGTGCGCTTTCCAGGCCATTGCTAACGGACCGTCTAGAGTGGTCCCGAGTACAAGAACAGGGACTTCAATGTCTACCCCGGTCCTTGCAGATAAGATAAAACAACGGATAAAGGTTGAAGTAACTTAGTCTACAGAATCATTTCCCGCGCCAAGCTCAACTTTCCACCCTCTCTCATCCGACTGGAGAACATAGAACCTTCAACCTGCCGATGTTCGTTCCCGTGGCCTCCACGGCAATCAAGCCTGCCTGGTAGTCTGGCCCAACTTGGCCAGACGACAGGTCAAATCAAGGTCTTCAACAACTCACGGGTGTTACTTTCGCTGGAACTTTGCTGCCTCTCTGTGTTACCCTGCTAGCCATGGACTCAGAAAAACCAAAAATAAGCTGCGGAAGACCGCCATTCCTCCCAGGAACCAGTCAGAGCCCATGCGGACATATCTGGCACCCGCTGATTGATCCTGCATACTCACCGCTTGGGGTTGTGGCGTGCAGATGGATGGCCGCGGCTCAGTCTGGGGAAACTCTGATTGCTGGCATGCGAGTCAAATAATGCACATGTCGAATTCCCCGACGAACTTCCTTCCTTGGGAGGAATCAGGCAGTCTTGCTGCCAGCACGACGTGCAGTACAACCTAGATACTCTACTTGGTACATCCAACAACACGGAAACATGTTTCCAGCAATGCCAATTAAGGTTACGGGTCCGCGGCTCTTTGCATATTCCTACCAATAGACAAGTCTTTCTCTTGACTTGTGTGCCCGATGACTGCCTGTCTGAGACTGCGATCAAGCATAAAAAGCAGTCTGCATGCGCACAAAGGTGTAACAACGCTGGGCAGATGATGCGGTTACCCCTCCTGACCGACAGGAGTTAGATGAACGTTCAATCAAAGCCCGTGGGTTTAGCATGCGCTGTCGTCCGGATCATTCTCGTAGTGTCATCGTAGGATCGGTCATATGCTGCACGACCCCTCATGGCGGACAAACTTGCCTCGATCACGAATGGTAAATTTCTCCGTCTGTGCCATGTCAATCGTGTCATGGATTGTAGGGGCGTACATTGTTCTTCTAACTTGACATATCCGGCTCTCCCTTACCTAACAGGTATGGCAGTTCTGTCGCGATCAATCGCTGCATAATAAACTCTCCAGCTTTCTAATTCCTGAAAGGCCTCCAAGAGCAGAGCTTTCCCTTCTAATGAGCGACAACTATGGCTTTTATGTGGTGATGATGGTATAGTTGCGGATGACATAGTACTGCTTACCTAAGCAGTGATATGCCAGGTTGCCCACCGCCAGGCAGTCGGGATGCCGCCTAACCAGATGAAGCTGAGTGCGACATGGCCATTGTGTGATATTGCATTCCATAGGCCAATTCACCAAGTGCACTACGCTCGTTCCAGCTGATTGAACTCATTATATCTTCCTTCGCCCTCGAACTCCTCGCCTACGATGACCTCCCTCTTCTTCTCCACTCCCGTCGATATCGATGTGGTCCTCGAAGACAGCGATGAGCGTCAGACGGTTGATGTCAAGCTCGACAAGGGCCGTCGCGAGAGGGTCCCCCTCTACATGGACGGAGAGTCTGTCAAGGGTGCTGTGACGGTCAGACCTAAGGATGGAAAGCGTTTGGAACACACGGGCATCAAAGTGCAATTCATTGGCACGATCGGTATGGAACAATGGCTCTGATGAGGGGGCGGGCATGCCTCATCATCATCCCCACTCCACAGTTGCTTTCAGGCTTCAAGTCTCGATGCTAACATGCAATTGCTTGTCCAGAAATGTTCTACGATCGCGGTAACCATTACGAATTCCTGTCGCTGGTACAGGAGCTTGCGGCTCCCGGAGAACTGCAGCACCCCCAGACCTTCCCGTTCAACTTCAAGAATATCGAGAAGCAATACGAATCATACAACGGTATCAATGTTAAGCTACGGTACTTTGTCCGCGTGACAGTATCCAGGCGCATGGCGGACGTGATTCGGGAGAAGGACCTCTGGGTCTACTCCTACCGCATGCCCCCCGAGACCAACAGCCCCATCAAGATGGACGTCGGTATCGAAGACTGCCTGCACATTGAATTCGAGTACTCGAAATCCAAGTACCACCTCAAGGATGTCATCGTAGGACGCATCTACTTCCTGCTGGTGCGCTTGAAGATCAAACACATGGAGCTATCCATCATCCGTCGTGAGACGACCGGATCTCCGCCAAACCAATATAACGAAAGCGAGACGCTCGTGCGCTTCGAGGTATGTCTGCATACAACTAGAATGGCTGCATGAGGTCCAAAGCACTAACCTGCTGCACGCAGATCATGGATGGATCACCTTCCCGAGGTAAGTCGGTGGCTCGGACTCACTTGGCTCTCAGACATCGCAACACGTCACACTTGCGGTATTATCACCACCGAGCACCTCTCCTGACCTGTTTCTAGGTGAAACCATCCCCATCCGTCTGTTCCTTGGAGGATTCGACCTTACCCCAACATTCCGCGACGTGAACAAGAAGTATTCGACGCGCTACTACCTCAGCCTGGTACTTATCGACGAAGGTACGTGATACTGTATCCATCTGCGTTTCATCTGCGTTTTAGCCTTGTTTGGCGACTGCCGTTCATGAATCCCGTCTGGCGTGGGATAACCATATCGGCCATCCCACGCATGTGAGACCAGGCTTTGGGTTGCAAAGGCGTGGTGGTGGCTAGCTAGCTGGCCCACTTCCTCCATAGCCAACATCCATCCCACGGCATCCCACCACCCAAGTCAATAGCCGGTCGGCTATTGATACCCTTAATCGGGCCGAAATGCTGCAATCTGGCCAGTGGCCACAGTTGGGGTGTTTCCCCCCCGTGACTAACCCCCACGCTAAACCTCAAACTATTCTGGTCTCGCGTGGTAGCCCCACCGGCCCCAGTTCCCTCCCGTTTTTCCTTGCGTTCCGGAAGTTTCGATCGTCACATTCAAACACCCATCGTGCTAACACTCCCGGTCTATCTATACAGACGCTCGTCGTTACTTCAAGCAATCCGAAATCGTCCTCTACCGTCAAGCTCCCGAGATCGCCATCACTCCTCAAATCGCCCAGCAGCAACAGATCCAACAACAGCAGCTCCTCCAACAGCAGCAGCAACAGCAACAGCTGCCCGCCGGTTCTGCGACGGCCGGCCCCGGACGAACTGACACCCAGCCTCAGTTCACTCAGCAAATCCCTGCGGCTTAATCCAATCTGTGTCCGCGTCTCATGCTGTAGCGAAATAGATCGTCTTTTGTTCTTGGGCTGCTACTGATGCTGATGCCGTGCTGTGCTGTGCTGTGTCAGACTTCCGTTTGATGTTACCTAACCCTTACCCATTATACCCTTCTGTGTATTAACCTATGTCTGGCTGTATTTCTCCCTGTGTTATGATGAAATCTCAGCAACATGAAATTTACTTTATGATCTGTTCCGTATTTGATCCTTTCAGTTTGTAAATTTTGCGGTGACATGAGATGGGAACAACCTGGTCCTATTACCTCACTATGGTGTCAATGCTATAAGGTGAAAATCACAATCTAAGACTACCTGAGGAATGCTCAGCACGAAGTAAAATCGAACACAGAACCATTAGCAACCTAGCCATACAGCAAAGTCCAAGTAGACACAGATAAAGAAACCAAGGACAGACAACAGCATCAACGCTTGCTAGATGGCACGATCGTCTATGTAATACTTATGTCCCAACGAGCTTAAAACAGCATATATATGGAAAAAGCGGAAACAACAACAACTGGCATATGGGCAATCCTACACATCATACATAATAGCCAGCAGCAGCACTACCACCATTAACCTCTTGAAGAATCTTCCCGAGTGCATGCAAAACTTCACCATCATCCTGTTCCTTCCCGGCAACTTGCACGGCCCGCACAACAAGCGGGTAGATCCATGCAAGATGCTTTTTGTGATCCTGGTCAGAGTCAGAACTAGGTTTAGCGGTGGTGGCTGATTCGCTCGGCGCTGTCTTGGGCGGCGGGATCGCCGACGGCTCGCTACGCAGGTCTACCATGCCGCGGAGGAGATGTAGAAGGGATCTGCGTGCGGGCGTGGGCTGCGGCATCAGGCCGCGGAGGGGTTGGTCTGCGATGTAGCCTTTCAGGGATACGGCACAGCGGAGGATAAGGTATGGGGTGATGGAGCGGGCAAGGAGGATGAGAGCGGTGTTTTGTTGTTCGGAAGCGGCTTGTGTGGCTTGGTCTGAAGGTGATGACGCTAGTTCGAAGAGTGTGTCGATCACAGCATATGCCATTTTGGTGCGTGTCGTGGGTGGAGGTTCGAAGGTCCTTCCGGGGCGTATTTCATAGATGTCTTTGAGGGGTTGGTCTTGGAGGGAGTTGGCGGGGATGTCGAAGCGCTGAGGGAGGTAGATGAAGGACGAGAGCAATAAGGCGCAGGAAAAGTCCCGGCGGATTGAGTCCGGGATCACGGATGCTCCAAGTGATGGGATGATTAGTTTCTTCAGTCGTTCAAAAGCAGCCACGTCAAAGGACTCGTCTTCCAGGATGGTGACCCGGGGAACGGAAGTGGTTCGATAACCTCGAGCAGTGACAATACCGCTTGCGATGTCATTGACGCTCTTCCAAAATTGTGTGATTTCAGGACGCTCCGAGTCGCCATATTGTGTCTCCACGTAAGGAATTGCAACTTGAAGAACGTTCAAAGAGGCCGTTGTTGACTTTCGCCAGAGGCTCGGTTCCCGATCCTTCCCTGACCATTCATATCTTTGGACAATAGGGTTTGCGAGGTGCTCTAGGGCCGTAGCCAGTGAACCGTTCGTGAAGATGTCTTTCTTGATGCCGTGATCAGCGATGTACCAGCTCAGGAGATCTATCGCGGCTTTAGAGAAGGCAAGATAAGTCGGTCTCTTTGAGTCACTCGAAGAGTCCCACTTCGTCAACGGTGCATCCGCAAAATCAGCAAGACACGATAGAATCTCTGGTTGTGAGTCGTCTTTCTCGAGGCATAGTGTCTTCAAGCACTCAATGATCATGGTTTGAAGGCGGGATAAGCGATCAATGTCTGGCGAGTATGGAGGGGATATTGAATTCCAAGCGAGAAGACGTAGATGTCCGAGGATGCTTTCCACCTGCTCTCCAGCGATTTCATCCTTGTATAGTCGATAAATCTGCTGGAATGACTGGAGGTATGCTATTGCCGCATCTTGATTGGGGCGTTCCAAGTCAAGTATATCTTCCCTATCTGCCGGGTGTCCATCTACCCAGAGTAGCCAAGCAGAACGCAGGGCCTGTGTACTTAGACTACATGATGCCTGCACACGACGAAGAATATTCGACAGGCTGGCGTATACAGCCTCGCTGAACTCAAGAAGCTGTAGGCTGATCAACTTTCGGAAATATTCAAGCAGCCGTTCCCAGGACTGATCGAATAGATCGTCTTGAACGATTGGCTCGAAGAAAGTAGTGATGAGATCAGAAGCCCCCTTTATCATGACAACAGTGGTCTCAGTCCAAGCCTTGAGATCATCGGAAGTGCGATTGCTACTCTCCTCTCGGGTGATGGTAAGCTCGGTCTCGATTTCCTCTACCATTCGGAATAAAACACGGTTCAGACACAAGCGCCATGCCTTGGGCGACAATTGCTGACCGTAGGCGTCAAAGATCCTCAAGAGTGTCTGAACAGCGCAGTTCCGAATTTCCGGCCTGCTATCCGTCGTAAGGTCAACGATTCGTAGAAGGAGCAATAGCCACAATGCATTTCGCGACACTGAAGGATCCTCCCCCTTGGCTAGCCCTGCAAGGGTGCCCTCAGTCACGGAGGAGTCAATGTGTACCTCAATGCAAAATTGCTCGATTTGTCCCTGGAGGAAGTCTGAGACATTCCAGAAAGATGAGGTAGTTGTCAATGAGATATTGAAATCCTGCTGTTGCAAGGCAAATTTTGAAAAAGAGTCCACGAGACTCAACCGACAGGGCACTGGAAGCAAGGAAATGAAGTCGGAAGCTATGAGCTGCAGAGACTTGTACGCGACTCGAACAAGTCGCGGCGAATTTGCTGTCGATGATGGCTGACGCCCTTTCTTTGGTGTTTCGGTGCCGTTGGGCTCGCCGAAAACGCTTGTTATGAGATCGAAAACAACGGACCATCCATCAACGAATGTTTCAGCATATTGTTCGAGTATGCTCTTTAAAGTTTCCAAGCTCTGCTCATGAACTTCGGCCACGGGCGCTGAAGGCGACCCTGCCGAACAAGCTCCACAATCATAGAGCAGTTGAACTTGAAGCTTGAGTGTTTGGAGGTTTCTCAATTGCCGTGCATTCCGCTCGGAGACATCTCCGGTATCCGTGTGCTTCAGTGTCTGGAAAACAACGTCATTAAGAACCTCGTTGGCTCGTAGACGAAGCTTTTGGATATTTGATCTGTCCGCTGCACTTGACATCAATCTTCCCGTAAGAAGTTGCCAAGCGTCTTGGTCAGTATCAGCTAGTGATGAGAAACGTTCAAGGTTTGCCCTGGCTAGCTCGTTTGCCTTCTCGAGGACAAATTTCAGGAGTTCATCTTGCGTTTTCGACGTTCCCATAGAGCGAGATACACGGTGGGTGTTTTTGCGCATCAAATATGAGCGCGACTGAGGTGAAAGAACGGTGCTTGTTGTCTCAGCCGATTCTTGCGTCGATTCTTCGGGTGCTCCAGAAAGATCTAAGAGCGCAGTCAAGATTTCCTGAAATGAATCGCTGGGATATTCGCTAGTACTCTCTAGCATTTTAGCTGATGCTGCCTGCACGGCTAATATCTCGGAATTGAGATTAGCCTTAGGCACATCGACACCAGCGGCAGAGGATGTTTCTCCGGAAGTAGTGGTTGATGCTTGTGACTTTGTGGAAGCCATACCGATCACCAATTCTGTGTCTTGTAGGGTCCCTAGTATTATTGACCAGGCCGGCTGGTCTAGTGTAGGGCCTAAAGCGATGCCCAAATTGAGCAGCGCCCGCAAGCACAGGAGGTTCCGGGTACTGAGGGACACAAGCGCAACGTCCGAAGGCGCACTGGAAGTCTCAGCCGGTAATGGAGAACCACTAAGCGACGCCTGAGACCCCTTCGATTTCTCATCTAATGATTTGTTAGACTGAGAAGCGGCTGTGGTAGGCGCTGCAGTGCCTGCAGTCCTTGTGGAAGTTGCGTCTGCAGGCATGGCTGCCTTCCCTATAGTTGTTAAAAGAGCATCGCGAGGCGTAGATAACCTGAGAAGGCCAGCAACGTGGGCTAACTTCTGAATTGATCGAACAAGGTTGTGGTAGAAGTCATCATCAAGCGAGGCATATAGAAATGTTGAGCAAGCGGCAAGGATAGCAGGCCAGCATGTCTCAATGATTCCGGCACAGCTTTGTATTGCTGGGAGTTGGGGATGAGATTCCAGCAGCAGGGGATTGATCGGCACAGAGGACTTTTTGGGACCCAACGGCTGCAATCCTTTCGAGGAGTTCGTCCGTTGAAGGTCCTGTGAAGGCCGAGAAGAGCCACCATCCGGGTGGGGACTCATGACACGACTTCTTCGTTTTTGCTTCAGATCGGGCACCGTCAAGGGAAGTATGAATTTCGCGAGTCCTTCAGCAAAGCTACCGATGCAGTTCAACACAAGACTATAGATATAAGTATCAGGAGGAGTAGGAGGATCAGTCTTGTCAAGCAACTCCATATACGGTGTGCGAACCACACTCCACTGACTGCTGATTCCTGGTACATCAGTGTCCGTTGATGGAACGGTGGTTCCGATGACGCCAGCAACCCCACCAGCCTCGAGCGTGATCTGCTCCTCAGTGATAGATCTCGCATGCTCAACTCGGGAAGGGACGGTCGATCGGCTACTAACTCCGATCAATGTGGGCTTTTCGGAAGTTAGGCGGACAAGAGAGGCCATGTGGTCTTTGAGGATATTCTTTCTCCGGTCATCCCTGTCGTACAGCGAATACATGAGCCTTACCAGACCTGGTTCGGCATATAAGCCTCGAAAGACCTCCATGCAGAGGACTCGTTTCCAAGGGGAGTTTCCGTCTGGCTCAAGTAGATGCGTCAAGAGACCAAGGGCCATCTCGCACTCCGCGGGAAGGAGTGACATATGGCGTTTGAGGAGCACCAAGAGGATGCGACTGACTCGAACAGTCTGCGAAAAGCTATGCCGTTCAGACAGATACCTGACGATCAAGGGCATGAGCCGAACTCGCAAAATCTGCGTTAGCTCGGAATGGACAACGAATAATTTGCCGCTGTTGACCAGGATGCTCTCAATAAGCTCAAGGGTGAACGATGAAGAGAGGGATTTGATTCGAAGGAAGTACAAGGGTTCGCCATCAATGAGTCGACAGAGGTCGTCCAGGACCTTGTGAGTCAGTGAGCCATGAAATCATGTCAGCTTAAGTGGAAGGCCACCTACCCGCAGAGCATCGTATGCAAAATATCCTACATTCACAGGGTTCCCGTCGACCTTAACAGTCGTCGTTGGAGTTGTTTTATCGAAATTCTCTGGTTCTCTAGTCAGGCCTGTGTCGCGTTGGAAGGAATAGAAAGTACACGGTTACTGACTGTCTTCGATCGATACACGGTCAAATGTTGATACGATCAGTTGCTGCAATGTGGCTGCGGCGGTACTGGAGACTGCAAGCATCTTGTTCCCTTGCAGAGTAGCACAGATCTCCAAAGTGCTTACTAGGAGGTCTCCTCCCAGGTCACTGGAGTAGTGCTGCAGTAGGGAAGGCAAAGACTGCAATATTTTGAGCTGAATGTCCAGGCCTTTGCAACGTCAGTATGGAATGTAGTGTTTGTAGGTGGTAACTTACTCATGTTCGTTGTCTCCTTCAACCCAGCAAGTACATCTTTCAGCCGCTCAGATGGCAGCGATCGTGAGGCCACTAGCCTTTGCAGACAGACGACCCCAATGCCTGCAAGCTTCGCATGGCGGCTGTGGCACGCAAGGATAAATGGATTCGCAAACTTAGGTTTGCGCACCAAGTCTATAGAAAGTTCAGCGTATGCCCTTGACGGAGGTGCAAGCTGGTGGCTTGCAAACGCTCACCTGCCGAAATCTGCGCTTCAGAAGTAGAAGGCAGTGCCTTCAATTCATTAAGGGACTCTTCAGCTGCCTACAATTTAGTCAGTACTGCACTTGCGTATCCCTTTTAATTGAGCGATTAAACATACATTACGCAATTCAGAGTTTCTTCTCTTGGATTCCTGAATCAGGTTCAAGAGCTCTGTCTGCAAAAATTGAGAGGACATTTCCACCGGATTGTTTAATCAGTACATGGCCGATGCCACTCCCTATCGATCAAATAGTAGTATCACTAGGCAGATGTGGCTTCATGTGGTTGGGTCGCTGGTTGGACGACGGAATACAAAGCTAAGCACTTGAAACACGACAATACCAGACCAATATGTTCTAGATACAAGCCGCATAAATATAAATTTGCAGCAGCTGTAGCAGACAATGACTGGTTCATTTAAAACAACTCAAAAGCAATGGCATCAGGAGTGACATCTTGGGAGCGCCAAGGCACCCGCGGAGATAGAGCTATCACGTGATATATATACAGCCGTTATCATCACGTGCGGTAGTTCTTCAGGAACCCGGCGGGACCAGATACGCAGCCCAGCCAAACGGCCGGAAGTGGGATAAGGTCACAGTGCCCCTCCTCCGCCCCGAGGATCGAAACGTCTCCCTTACAACTTCCTATCTAACTTTCGCTCACTTTCGACCTAACCCTACCTCTTATCTGCACAATGGGAGCTAAAGTGCCCAGAAATTTCAGACTGCTCGAAGAGCTGGAGAAGGGTGAGAAGGGCTTGGGAGCTGGTAAGTGCTATGCTACTCATAGTCATAAGAAACCCATTTCGCTGACGTATTCCTATCGCTATTACCTAGAGTCATGCTCCTATGGTCTTGCAGATGGTGAAGACATGATGATGAGTAACTGGAACGGCACTATTCTTGGCCCCCCTCACGTTCGTCCACCGCTTCCGGCTCGCATCCGTTATACTACACAGTAGCGTCACTGACTTTATGAACGAGCGCAGAGTGTCCATGAGAACAGAATTTACAGCGTCAACATCCATTGCGGTCCGGACTACCCTGACAACCCCCCTACTATTCAGTTTGTATCCCGAGTCAACTTGCCATGCGTTGATGGCCGGAGCGGAAAGGTAAGGATCCGTCCTGTCTCGACCACTACTACGTGAAAGGTTTCCAGTCTGACTTCATATAGGTCGATCCTACCAAGCTGCCTTGCTTGGCTCAGTGGAAGCGCGAGTATACCATGGAAACTATTCTAGTCGAGCTCAGAAGGTAACCATTGCCTGACCTTCAGGCTATTGTGTCTTTATACTAACAGTCTCCAGATATATGGCTCTGCCCCAGCACAAGAAGCTTCCGCAGCCTCCGGAAGGCTCGAACTTCTAGAATAACGGTATCATGACTGGTTGGGGACACGAAAGCGGAGTATATGGTTGGTTTCTAAGTCAGTTTCATCTGCATTTCTTTTCAATGGCTTATTAGAGCATGTACAGTCTATGCATAACGGCGGGCATGGCGCGGTCTTCTTTGAAGCCTAGTTGCAATTCATCGATTTAGAACATTGCTCAGTATGAACCGTGTGTCGCTTTTGTCAAAGCCATATCTGCCGAACTAACAAGGCCTTGTACCCTTGTTTTTGGCGGGTATTCGTTCATATTTGGACAGCTTTCAGAAGCGACCATACCGGCGAAAGACATTAGACCATGATCAGCATATAGAGGAATATCCGGAAATCGGGTCCCTTCCGTCGCCTGTTGTAGATCGGATAACAGTAGAGTCTATACAGCTGCACGGCACGCACTGCAAACTTCCGGTGCAATCGATTCACAAGTAATAGTGTCGGCCGTTTGTCAAAATTCTAGAAGTTCCTACACCATTGCATGCCCTGATTACAATATATTATTGTTTAATCACAGTATAGGCATATCATTTCGGTTACACGTGACGTATTTCGGATTGCCGGAGTAGTCACATGTCTCCGACTAAAGTCCGGAACTTAAGCCTTCAGGATCATGCTGCCTCCTCGATAATGCATAGAACAGTTGTTCCCAGGCAGTCTTCCGCTCATCGTTTCGCAAGTAAGTTTCTTCAGAGACAGTAATATTAACTGAGCGTCACAAGAGTTTGACTAACTGCTGTTTTCCTTTCCAGCTTTGGCACTTTATCGAGCGCTCCTCCGACAATGCGCCAAACTACCACATTCTCCCTCCGAACTCGCTGCGTGCAAGCCGTACATCCAGAATAGATTCAACAGATACAAAACGCTTCAGAGTCCGTCTCAAACAGCCAATTCACTTAGGGCAGGCTACGAGGTGCGTTAACAATCGGCTCTCAATCAACCATTCAGTATCTAAATTCCGCGATTTCGCAAACACTCAGGCTCTTGACCTACTGTACTCAGCTTCGCAAGGCGACCAAAATGGCGTTCAACGGATAAGGAAACTCATATCGGAAAGTGAAGCGGCAAAGCGACAGAAATCCGAATGGCACAGGGAACGAGCTAAGGTTATTCCGGTAAAGCCCGTGAGCCGGAAGGAGCTGAAGAAAGAGGCAAACAAACGTTACCGAGTATTGACTGCGAAACGGCACCCGGATGCCTCCTCTATTCTTGCACGTCCTCGGCCTGTAGTCAATGGGAAGCGTCGAGTTCCTGTACTCGTGAATGCGCGTGGTTTCCCATTCCTGCTCATCAAGAAGCCCCAGCCTAAGTTTCTTAGCGCCGTGCTGGATTCGAAACTGAAAAGGCGCTGGAAGAGGATGGAGCGCTTAAAAAGGCTCGAGTCTGAGTTGCCCATGGCCAGGGACGAGGATGAATGGGATCTATTAACTGGCCATAAGGAAGATGCAAAGTGGGCTGGGCCAGTTAGAGTGTCACTTAAAGAGGTGCAGGGACAAATATCAGAAGGCGATAGGAGGACCAAGGAACTGGCGCAAGCTATGTGGAAAGTCGTTCTTGAAGAGCGCAAGCTGGCGGAACAAGAGGAGAAGCAACGGGTCGAGCAAGTCGGAGAGCAACCAGCGGAAGGAAAAACGAATTCCTCAGCAGAGGAACACGATAAGAAACGACCGAGTGAGGGATGAATCAATGCCGGATGAAATGTTCTGTTACAGCCATCCAAAGCTTGCGCTTGGCAGATCATCCTGTCCAGCACTTTATCCTTATGAGCCCAAAACCGTCACATCCACCACGCTACCAGTACGGTGCTATTGAGAGAATGCTCCAGCGTCCCTAATTGGAGCTGAATTCGGCGTATCTACTACCGTTTACGGGGTACGCCGCTTCTCCGGCCTTTCATCATGTCCCTTATGACGGGTCAACGCTACTACCAACGGAGTGCGTTTGGAAATAAGAAATATGGCAGGTACATGTGCATAGTGCAACAGTGGCTGGCGCATGTACAATCATAACTACCACATACTAGTCTAATGTCAAGTACAATGTCTCGCAAGGGATCCATACTGCTTCCATCTGCTATGCGGTAGTAGACAAATACTTTCGTAGGCTTACTGCACACCAAACTTCGTGGTTGGCTATCAACTGCTCAACGTCAACCAGCTAGCGTCCTTGTCATACAGCCAAGATTATTTACAATATAGTAATTCCAAAGAATGCCCACTTCTAGTGGCTCGATCGCCATCAAGCACGGAACTGAATTCTCGCCAGAGATCTCATCTAGAGACCCCAGCTTCTAAGCAGCTATCTTCATGTTCTCCACAGCAGCCGGAATACCATCCTCCTCATCTTCATCAAAGTCTGCCCTTCCAGCAAGACCTCTTTCCCACAGCTGCTTGCCCGTCAACTTCTTTTCTTCCTTTGCCGGACCCTTCTTGGTAGCCTTCTTCTCCTCCGCCTCCTTCTCCTCGCGCTTCCTCTTCTCTTCCTCCTCCATCTCCTTTATGAACTTGTCGCGCCACTCCAAGAACGTCTCCCGATTGACAGCAGTGCCCTGGAACTTCCGGTTCTCCTCCTCTTCCGCCTTCTTCGCCTCCATCTCTTTTTCGGCGTGAACGGCATTCACGCGCTCCGCCATGAGCTCTTCGGCGCTCTCCTTCAAAGCACTAACCAGTGTAAATACCATAGCCATTCCCATGTTCTCCTCAATGGTCGGTTGCAAGGCTTCGAGAAGCCGGTCCCGGTCTTCACTGATGTCTAGTCGGGGGTGTTTCGGTGCGTTCGGAGGCGCACTCAACTCTAGTTCCGGCGCAACATCCGGGTAGTCTGCTGAGTATGTGACTTGCAGAAGCAAGACAGGCTGCTCTGTTTCTTCGACGTCATTTTCGGGTGCGTCAAGAGCAATTGATATCCGGTATGAGGTGTCAGAAATATCTGGGGTGGGATTCGGTCAGCGATTTTATTGTTTGAGAAATTTTAAATGAAGCGTGCAAGGTGGTTATAGTGCCGCCTTCTTACCTGTGATTTCCTCGGGGAAAATGGAGTCGAGCACTTCGCGCTCTTCGATCTGGTCTTCGCGGCCCATGCTGCTTCAATTCTGCCGCCGGCGGGGCTGGAGGGGTATTGTTTGGTTTTGGGTTTAGGGACAAGGAGAATGGCTGGAAGTTCAAGATTCAGACACTTGAGAATCTAGCTATATGATATATCGAAGAGACCAAACAAATAGTCCCTAGTCTTATGGTCTAGACGTTGAGAGGCTCGTGCTTGGGAAATGAATTCCTCGGTCTTCAGGTGTGTAAGTAGAATACGCTGCGATCCCACATGCAAACCAGACAAACAGATAAGGAATCGCCCAAATTTGTCCCGCCCGAAAAAGGGAATTTCTATGCTCCGCCTTCTCGAAATTCAAAGCTTCAAGCATTTACACTCAATATTCTTATTTATAAAACCTTTCTACCCTTTACTCCGTGTCCTCGAATAACCCCTTCAAGTACGTTTGACATATAATTCCGTTACAGCTTATAGATCATGGGAAAATCAAGACCTCACAACAAGAAGGCCTCCAAATCTCGCGCAAAGTCCGTTTTGGGCGCTGGCGGCTCGGTTTCGAAACAAAAAATGAACGAAGACCCCTCTAAGCTCCTCGAGCAGGCGACGATACAGCTCCAGACTGGTCAACCGGACGCAGCTCTCCAGTTAGCTCAGCAAGCCCTTAACAATGCGCCGGACAATTCTCCATCTCAATTAGTGGCACTTAATACCGTTGGAGAGATCTACGTTGAGCTGGGCGAGATCGATGTTGCGAAACAACACTTTATGCGTGCCATCGAGCTCGACCCGAATGGCACGATCCCTGAGGCTGAAGGAGGCGGTGCTGAGAAGTTCCTATGGCTAGCTCAATTGAGCGAACAGGGTGGGAAGGACAGCGTTCAATGGTTCGAGAAGGGAGTGTCGTCGCTCAGGCATATTATCCAGCAGCTCGAGCAGAAACCTGGCCCTGAGGAAGCGCTTGAGCTGGCCGAGAAGAAGCGCAAGATGGCGAATGCCCTCTGCGCTGTTGCTGAGATCTACATGACCGATCTCTCGTAAGTCGCTCTCCAATTCATCCTTCTTCCCATGGGTGGGTTGGTCGCAGATCTTTTGGTGCTGACTGTCAATAGGTGGGAAGAAGATGCGGAAAACCGTTGCGAATCACTCATCACAGAAGCCCTCCTTGTCGCTCCGAATGCGCCCGAAGTACTACAGACCCTCGCATCGATCCGGATCTCGCAGCTACGGACAGAAGAGGCTCAAGCAGCGCTCAGGAGGAGTCTCGATCTTTGGAAAGACCTACCGCCCGAGGACTTGTCCATTCCTGACTTCGCGACAAGAATCAGTCTTTCCCGTCTCCTGATGGAGGTCAGTATGGAGCTTGAGGCTCTCGAGGTGCTGGAACGCCTAATCTTGGAGGACGATCAAAGTGTGGAGGCATGGTATCTTGGAGGATGGTGTCTGCAGCTCCTGGCCGGGAAGCAACAAGCACCGAAGGATGCCGACGAAGAGGACGGCAACACCCCAGAGGCCAGACGCCATGCATCACTCGTGGCTAGCCGCGAATGGCTCAAGCAAAGCTTGACGCTGTACGACCTCGTTCAGTATGAGGACGAGAGGCTTAAGGAACACGCACTGGAATTGGTCCAAGAGATGAACAAGGAGATCGGTGAAGATATGGATGACGATGAGGCCGGGGAGGGTGAGGAAGATTGGGAGGACGAGGAGATCGAGGTGGAATCTGATGGCGATGACGAGATGGCTGACTCATAAAAAAGCTGCATGTTTGATTGTTACGAAAGTTCTTTGTCATGATACCAGTATATAAAAGGGCATGTTTTCCGATACAACCTACGGCTATTCAAAGGACTCCGATCGCGGACACGATCCAGCAGTAGTCGAACTAGTAGTAAGTACTAGTAGTAGCTGCGATAGTCTCTATCAGCAGACGGCGCCGGATAAA